TGGAAATGGAAGGTATTTCTGGATGATTTCCTACAGAATCATCTCAGAACAGTAAGTTGCAGGGGAAGGGCATCCAAGGATTGCTTTTCATTATATGTGGGATAATCTCTTATACTTTGGAGATGAATTTCAACAGCAATCACCTGAAGTCCTAGAAATACAACGTTTAACACGACACCAACAATTCTGCTACTAATAACAGGGAGTTAGCTATCAAAGACAAGATTTCTTAGAGTGAGGGAGGCAAGGGTAGGGCAGTTTGCCAACAGCATGCAGGCAGACTCTCTTATTTCCACTACTATGGAAAGGCCAGCATAGAGAGGCCATTTGATATTAATAAAGAACAGGAATGTTTCCTTTCCATCTCTTCTTAGTTTTGTTAGCTTGTTGGTAGTTTCCTTATCAACTTGCCTATGAGTGACATACAGTAAGAGAGTACAACTTCTATTGTAGATTGCCACAAGGTGTCTTGTACATAGATAGATCTCAGGCACCTTGATAACAAAAGGTGATGCCTCTCCAAGTAATAAGCTTCTAGAGTTTCACATTACAAGAAATAAACACTGTAACTTAAAATGGGAAAAAACTAAGGACTTTTGTATTTATCTTTAAGGGAAACTCAATTTAATTTGATTTCTTAATTGAGGTAACAGATACATTCAACTTTCTTCAATATAACTAATATATTCTGTAACATCCAGTTCTATAGTTGAAATTTCTTTCAGAAAATCTTTTGAAAAGGTATATAAAATCAATACATGTATGGAAGATATATGTGTATATATCTAAGTATACATACATAAACATCTATACACATATCTGTACTTACAGAGTAGGTGGAAACAGATATGGCTCCTTCTATTGGAGGGGGAAAAACTCACTAAATCCTGGCATTGACAACATATGTGTTTATGTTATGTTTTTATGTAGCTTTCAGGCTTGAACCAGCTACTTCCAACTGCTGAAAGAAATTAAACAAGGAAAATGTACTGAAATCTTATACAAAATGACCCAAGAAGTCTTAACAGTGAAGGGAATAAATGTCTAGGAAGCAGAAATAAAATGGAAATGTATCAAATAAGAGGGAACAGACAATCAAGGGTGAACCTAGATACCTGCTAAGTTGGCATTAGGTCACTATTGAAAAGAAATACAGACACTTTAACTGTGGTTTCAGATGAGGCAAAAGCTGTGCTATCTCACTGGGCCAGCTCTTCCTCCTTTAAGACACCATTAAAGAAAGTTCAAAAATGCAAATATGTGGGGTGGGGTGAGGTGGGGATTCATGCAATCCTTGACTCACCCCTTCAATAACAGGCATAACAATTTCTTGAGACATCAAGAGGGTGGCTGGGGCGAAGCCACACCTTCCAAAAGCCACTCATTTGAAGGAACACCAGAAAACTTTTTGTTGAGGTAGGTTTCCGAACTGGGTCCCACCGAAGGTGAGCAGAAACCCCAGGAACACATACAAATAGTGCAGCTCACACTAGGCAGTAAGGTAGGGAGGACTGGATGAAGGTGATTTCAGGCATCTCCGAACAGGCTGAACAAGAAAACATTCTCATTTTCCCCAATACCCTTAGGCTACTCCTTTTTTCGAAACAAGCTAGCAAACTGTGAAAGAATCATGTTATTTCAGATTCACATTTTCCCAACAGGCTTCCTGTTCCCCACTAATAAAATCGTCTGTTCGCCCTGCTTCACACTAATAACTAGGGAGGGATGGGGAGGAGGTGGTGAAGCTATGGCCAGATTCAAGGCAGGGTACCCCAACTTCCTTGTTTATAGAAATGAAAGACTGTCTCGCTTATTTAAGCTCGGGAAAGGGGTCAGCCTATATCAGCACGATTCTCGCTGTGGATTTTTCCCCCTTCCCTTGTCTTAAATTGACCTGCTTTTAAGATAAAGACATAATAGAGAAAGCATTGACCTTACCTGTTCCCTAATGAGTTGGAAGTCAGGAAACCATTCTCTCATTTTCTCTTATCTGGGATCGCCTGAGAAGAGACCCATTCCTTGCAACAGCTCCGCGGTACTCACCGCCGCCCAGACTCCAGGCAGCTCGAAGGTTGTGTGGCCTTTTTAAGTCTGTGAATCTTCCTGGGCTTTCAAAATCAATGACTATGAAGCTACATCCACGCATCATCACTGGAGCTCCCAGGTCCAGACTTGGAAGCATTTTAAATCTCTTGGAAGACTCCTAAACAAGTCCTTCCCTATGAAAAGCCAAATTCTGAGCAGTGACTCAAAGCGCTATCTCCTCAAGGCCCTGATCGCCTGAAGGCTCTCTAACTGGACCGGACCCAGCTTATCTTGCTCTTGCTATTTCCACCAGGCTACCCCTATTTCCGGTGTGTGCCCACAAGCTGGGATATTTCTTTCTCTCTGGCCTTGAGGACCCCAGCTGTGTCCTTATGGGTGGCCACAGCATCTCAGAATCCCTTCTTTCCCTGCTCAGAGCATCTCGGTGCTGTTGTTTTCACCTCTTCTCTGAGCCCAGCCCAGTCCACCGCCCCGCCAGCTGAGAGAACTGCTTTTTCTTCCCCTCGGCCCCACTGCTTGGGGTTCCCAGGCTGGGGCGGGGGTGGGGAGCCGCTTTGGGATGCTAAACATCAAACAAGCCAAGCCTGGGGTTTCAGGCCCCGAGGCCACTAGAGCCGGCTCTCCAGGGCTCTCGAGAAAGTCCTCATGTTTACATGGTGTGGCGGGGTTGGGGTGGGGTGGGGGAGAGGAGCAAAGAGGAGGATACAAGTCTGCAAAATCCCCCCACGGCTTGAACCATCGAGGTCTGAGGTTGGGTGGGGTACTTATCAGGGGACAGTTTCTAGGGCATTTGTTCCATAGGCTCACTGGGGATGTTTTTCCCTCTTGTAACATCTCAGTGCCAAGGTTATCTCCGGAGTACTTATTTCTTCTCCTAGGAGGTCAGAACCAACTTGAGCCTGAGTTATTGGAATAAGCAAGTGTCCCTTCCAGATGCTGACCTGTAGCAGGTTGTATAGGAGGAGGATGTTCCCAAGCTGTGGGGAGCTCTCACTTTGAACTAGTTTACTATAGAGAGAGCCTCAGTCTACATCCCAAGTTTGCTTCAGAAGCTGCCACAGGTCCTCTAGGCAGCAGCTGGAGGAATCAGAGTGATAAGAAAGGACCCAAGCCCTGTTTGTTGGGTCTCATCCCCAAGGCCCCTCAGGATTCATCTATTCCAGAGACAAATAAACAAACTTCTAACTAAGCCTTCTGGAGAAGAATGTATTTGTTAGTGTTTCCAACTACATAAGGAAGATAAGACAGGGAGTACTGCAGTTGTGAACTTTGCTAGAATGCAGGAAGGCAGGGCAATATGGTGTCTACAGACCCTGGCTAGGCTCTGCCTGGGCCTGTAGTGCCCAGTGGGACTGGTTGAGTTAAACTCACTCCCTACTTAGGAGCTGAACAGCAGCTGCTAACACCTGCTTCCCCCATAGCCACAGCCTGCAGTCCTTGTTCCAAAATCTCAGATAGCTATCCCAACAGAAATAATTAAACTTTCCTGGTTTTGATTTTCCAAAATATGAGGTCTGCTGAGAGTACCATCCCCACACCTCCTAGCCACCAGTGTAAACTCTCAGCAGACAACCGACCATTCTTTCAGAATATCAGAGCAGTTTCAAGACTTAAAAAGCCATATCCCAGTAGCCAGGATTAGTTTTCCGAGGAAGAAAACTACTCCTAGCTTCCCCTCCTAAGGCACTATAGGGTAGAAATCCCCTAGACATCAGTGGAAGACTGCTGAATTCTTATTGTTTTCAAAAACAAGACCCTGGGGGAAGGGATGCAGTGCAGAACCAGGAAAAGTTGTTCAAGGATATGCCAGAGAGAAGGGGAGGGAAGGAGGGAAGAAGGGATGCATGAAAGAAAAAAATAGTTGAACATCTGAGTGAAAAATGAACACAACACTTGCCAAAAGTCAATGAATCACCACAACAAACCCTTGCATGCACAGAGTGCATCCAGGGATGATAGGGCTGTCTATCTGAACCCACAGGCTGCCTTGTCTGCATTGGTTTGCCAGGGGTAACTCATAAAAACAGTTCATCCAAGGAGCTGTCTCCGTCCATAATTATTCTTTTACCACTACCCCTTACAACCTTAGTATTTTCCCTAGCATACATATCTAATAATGGAGATAAAAAACGATCAGAGAGGGGGTTAAGATTATTTTGGTTTTGTTTTGGGGATGATAGAAAGTTGGGAGTGGGAGGCTTCATTGCTGCAAAGATTTAGCACCCCAGAACTGAAAGTTCTGGGATAAAGAGTGAAACTACACCCCAAAGCTTGCTCCAAGTCCACGCTGAAATAAGACAGAGCAGCCACTAGAAGCCATGGGGAGTTCTAGGATGGGAGGGGGCAGCTGATGATCCCTGAGCAGAGAGGAAACTCATTTTGGAGTGTTAGAACCACTTCACCACACAGTCACCACACAGATTCTAAGTGTGATGAGGCTGGCTGAGTGGGAACTAAGAATATAGATTTGGCATTCATATATACAAAGGCAATGGTTTCACTAGAAAGATAGGTCCTCCTGAGTTATTTCAAATGGCTGGCCTGGTCCACGGCTTCAAACATGGGGTTGGATGTGTAAGGCCAGCTTTTGAGGCTCCTAAAAACAGAAGGTTGGCTCTTTAAAAAGAAAAATAAAATGTCCATTGCTTTTGTCCCATTTTCTTCCTTTACCTCCCCTTCTAGAGAAGTAGTTTACTTTCCATCCTCACTATCAAATAGTCCCCAAGACTGCTCAAGATTTTATTCCATTAAAGTTTAACGCTGAACAAAATCCCCTCTTTTGTGGGACAGAAACTCTGGAACTGGCTTCCTTACCTGGGTTAGAACCAGAATCCCCAAGCTCAGACCCAATAATTTGGATCCCATCAGGCTTAATGATGAGCCCCTAACCCCTTCCCCAATCCATTTAAAGCCAAATCATAACCAAACAAAAAGAAAGGGTTTTAATCAGAAAAAACATCTTTTAATTCGTATAATTTATTAGAAGCTTCTTAGGAACTATATTTAAGCCAAATATCTACATAAGTTACAACAGAAAAAAAAAAGAAAGAAAAAAGAAAAAAGAAAAGAAGAAGACTGATGCTGCAAGTACCAAACTGCCAAATAATATACACAGGTTTGTCGATGCCCTTAAAAAAGTGAGGGGCCGGGGACCGGGGCTGGGGTTCTTTTTACAACAGAATGTACAGATTACTAAAAACTAGGCATTTTGTCCAACTTTTGACAGCATTTTACAGCTACATGTTCACATCAAACCTAAAACAATTTCTGAGGGGCCAGCCTGGACTGAACCTATAGGGCCAGAGGGCGCGAGGGAAGGGGCACTTCCTTTGTGTCAGGTACGAGTGGGTTGTGTAGTGAATCTTTCCCCTTCCCAGCCCCTGTCCTCCTTCTGGAGGAAAAAAAAAGGGGGGGGAGAGAGACAGAGAGAGACAGACAGAGAGAGAGAGAGAGAGAGAGAGAGAGAGAGAGAGAGAGAGAGAGAGAGAGAGAAATCCTGATATTTACAAGCAAGCCCACTTTGCTGGTAGAGTACGTCCAGAGGGAAGTTTTCCGTCTTTAGAGTCCGGGGCCATGGTGCCTGAAGAGCAGATTCCAAAACTATGCCATGCCCAAGCCGGGGAACCCATTTGAACCACCAGAAAGATACCCTGTGTTTGTTCTCTGCTTAAAGAATCCATAAGGGGCCGGATTTGCTTGGCTGTTTCTATTTTCTTTTTATGTTAAAAATAATCCACAAGTTTTAGATAGGAAAGAGAAAAGGAAGAAGGGAGGATGAAGGGAAAAGGGTGTCGAGGAGAAAGAGAAGAAGGAGAAGAAAGAAGGAGAAGGAGAAGAAGGAGAAGTAGAAGAAGGCGTCCAGTTTGGTCTTTGCGTACTTTTCCTTGGTCTAAACACAAACAGGTTCTTAAGAAAAGTCGAAGCGCGTAGAGCAGCGGGCGAGTGGTGGTCTTTATGGCGGGCAGAGACGAAGTGGTGAGGCTCTGCAGGTCCCACGTCTCATCTCACCAGGTCCGACCATAAAGCAAGGTAGAGCAGGACATGGCACCATAGTCCGAGCCGGAGGAGTTCAGGTGGGATAAGCTGGAGACTTGGCCCTGCAGTGCTGCGGGGCTGGCTGCGTGGTGCGCCAGGTCCGGGGACTGGCCAGCGCTGCCCGGCTGGTGGCCTGGGTGTGCTCCTAGACCGGCGCCACCGCTGCCTACCGAGATGGCCGCGGCAGCCGCCTGAGCCGCCTGTGCCTGCTGCTGAGCTTGCTGCTGCGCGTGGCCTTGCAGGCTGGCGGTGCCCGGCGCAGGGGCGCCCGCCTGGCAGGGTTTGCCGTCTTTCACTAGGACCGGCACGGCCACCCGGCGCGGTGACTGCTGCTGAGCTTGCTGCTGCTGTGGGCATCCCGCTCCCCCGCCACCTCCGCCGCCGCCGCCGCTGTCCTGCTGAAGTTGCTGCTGCGCCGCCTTGTCCTTGGCCTGGCGCTTCATCTTGTAGCGATGGTTCTGGAACCAGATCTTGACCTGCGTGGGTGTCAGGTGGATCATGCTGGCCAGGTGCTCACGCTCCGGCGCCGACAGGTACTTCTGCTGCTTGAAGCGCCGTTCCAGCTCGTACACCTGCGCCTGGGAGAAGAGCACCCGGCGCTTCCGGCGGGGCGCACTAGGCAGCGGAGCCATGTTCTTGCTCACGTCCCCCAGCGAGCCCAGGCCGCCCATGCTGCTCATATTCATGCCGCTCGCCGGGCCCATGAAGCGGGAGACTGAAAGCGACAAACGCACAGCGTTGGCTGGGGCCGGGGCCGGGACCGGGACCGGGGATGAGCCAAACTTGCTTTCCTTGCCCTTGGTCCGCTGGCCCCAACCTTCGACGGCATCCTCCTCACCTAGGCTGCCTAGCGCTCCTTCCCGACAGAGGCCCAGCTATCCCGGGAGTGACTAGTAACTTGCCCGGGCCGTGCTGTCGAAGAGCTTAAGGGTTTCAAGCCTAGCTACTCTTCATCGGTGTCAGGGTCTCTTTAGAACCAGAATGTACAGTGAGGGAAAAGGGTGTGTGAGCTAGGTGGGAAGCCCAGGGGTGCAGAGAGCTGGGATCCGACGGCAGACCCCAATTTCAGGGGGGTTACCAAAAGGGAGTTTTCAATTTTGAAAGCCCCAGCTTCCCAGCGCTTGGCCTTTTGCTTTCTCTCTCTTGAGCTCTAGGTGAGGACACCTGCTCGGCCCATTTAGAGCCGGCTCCAGAGCTGCCCTCTCAACCCGCCTAGAGACTTCTAGAAAGCTAGGCAGCAGGGCTGGGCGCTGGGATGCGTCCCAGCAGGGCGGCCTCTCTCCTGACCCGGCCTGGCTTCTTCCAACTCTGCTGGCCCAAGCCCTCAGCTCAGGGTGGGCCCCCCTTGAGAACCCTGAAGTCTTCTGGGTCAAGTCAATAGTTGGCGCCTGCGGTTGCTGGGTGCTAGCACCTGTCCCTATCCGCAGGACCCCGGCCCTGCTAAGTGCCTCTTTTGAAATCCTAGCCCAGCATGGGGAAGAAGGTCCTGCTCCCGCACCCCACTCCTAGACGGTGCTGCCTGGCTGCCCACCCCAAAGCCTAACATAACGGGCGAGCCCCGCACCTCGCGGGCTGCACTGACCGCGCCTCCTGTGCTCAGCCCGCGGCCCCGCGGCGGGGCGGCCTCACTTACTGGCGGGGAAGCGCGGGTCTGGGTTGGCGCCGTACCATCCGGGGCCCGAAGCGCTGTTCCGCATGGTGTCCTGGTAAGGCGGCAGCTCGCTCATGTTGCCCAGGTTGCCGTTGCAGTAGCCCCCCACAGCGGAGTGCGAGAGCTGGGGCACCCCCGCCGCCGTCATGTGGTAGGCGGCGGTGACGGCGCCGTGGTGCCCCACGGCGTGCTGCTGCATGGCGGTGGCCGGCGGGGCCGCCTGGCCCTGTCTGTATGCTGCTAGCGGAGCCCCGAGGCCGCCGCCTTCCATGCCCACTTTCTTGTAGCTTTCCTCCAGGGGACTCAAGATGTCAGACACTGAGAACGGAGTCGTGTGCTTTGGACTCATCGACATGATTCGGCGTCGGCTGGAGGAGGAAGGAAGAGGAGGAAAAAAAAAAAAAAAAAAGGAGAGGGGGAAGGCGAAGCCTTGCTACTTTTTTTTTTCTCCCTTTGCCAAATATTCTGGTGTTACCTTAACGCCGATCTTGTTGGATGTACACGTAACGGAGTGGACCGAGTCCGCCTTAATTGGCTTGAGTGGAGGCTCGGGGGCTGCCTCGCGTTTGTTTTAGCCCGGCGCCAGGTTTTAGGCAGCCACCAGAGGCGGGGCATAAGCGCTAAAGCAACAAGACAATAGAAGCCTACATCTTGCCCGAGATAATTAGCTTACATGCTGATGACAAGGTAAACACCTTTAAGCTTCACTTGTCAGGATTTTTAGGTCTCAAAGAGAGAAAGGAGGGAGGGAGGGAGAGAGAGAGAGAGAGAGAGAGAGAGAGAGAGAGAGAGAGAGAGAGAGAGAGAGAGAGCCAAAGCATTACTTTCCCCCTCCCTTAGACACCCCCACCCCCATTTTTGTGGGGTGCCTGTGGCGCGCGAGGAAAAGGCGGGGGAGGGAAAGGAGGAGGGAGCCGAGAGCGGGAGGGCCAGAGGTGGGGTAGAGAGTAACCTAAGAGGAGGGATGGAAAGGAGGAAGGAAGGTGAATGCTGCTTTGCAACCAACTTGAGGAGTTACAAAGTGGAACCGCGGTCCAATTCGGACGGGGTTCCAGGGTCAGAGGCTGGTCTTTGGGGAGAGGGGGCTGAGGTACAGGGAGCGGGGGTTTCACCTGAGCCTGCTGGGGCTGCTCCTCCCTCCCGCTGCGGCCTCCCAGCCCCGCGCCTTCCCACCGCCTCCGGACCACATCGGGCTGCGCTGCGCTGAGCCCCAGTCACCACCAAAAGAGTGTGCGAGTCTGGGGATGAACCCTGGGGCTGCACTGTTGGTCTACGTGTCTGTCAGTCTGTCTGCCTCTTCTGCCGCCGTCAGAGGGACACCTCTGCTCCCCGCCCCCTTTCCCCTTACCCGAGAGAATCCCAGCGGGCGGAGGGGGAGCTGAGTAAGGGAACGACAGCCTCCGGGAGGCTGTCGCCGATCCCCGCGCCACCCCCCCCCCAAGCTCCTGGCTCCTCAGCGGACCAGCCCCCCCCCCAGCCCACCCCACCCTACCGCTCCCTTTCTCCACCCCTTTTGCCGGCCCAGGCAAGAACACCGCTCGCCTTCTGAGCTGGGAGGACCAGGGTGCGGGGATTAACATGAGAGTCCACCACTGAAGTTGTCCCATCTCGAACAAACCTGGTGCCCCTGACCCTTGCCCATGGCCTGGATACTCCGGCTTCTGTAGCTGGTGCTGACTTCCGAGGACATCACAGTCCCAGCACTCCAGCCCAGATTCCCTCTGCTTTCCCTTCGGGTGCTTCAGGGAGAGCCTGGGCAGGGAACCGCATGAGCAGCTGCGGGTCGGTTGCCGAGAGAAATTGAGTCTGAACCCGGGTGGAACTCGCTGTCCGGGAGGAGGCGAATATCTGGACGCCTGCAGCCCAGCGGGCGGGAGGCTGGGCTGAGGCTCGCCTCCTCCCGGAGCTCAGCCATGCAAAAGTGCACTCGCTTCCCCGGGAATAACCAAATATCTTTGTCTAAAGTGGCGGCGTAAATGGCCGGTCGCTTTGTGGCCACGCTGGATATTAGTAGATGAGGATCATTCTGCTTCAATTGGGCGCCTCTCATCCGGCTAGCAAGAAACTGCTTAGGAGGAAGTGGGTTTCCTGTCTGAGCGTTCCCAGGCTTCAAGTGTGAGCCCCGCGCCTTGAGGGTCCTTGGGCGCCTGGCAAGGGGGAGCTGTGGGCTGTGCTCCCTAGCGGGGCCGGGGGGCGTCAGCCTCGTTGCTGTTACCAGGTCGGCCTCAGCAGCTGAGTGGGCCACCCAGCCAAGCCCTGCATGACACGGATTTGGAAACCACCTCCGATTTTCTCCTTGTAAATTAAACGTTTTCGATGTTGTTTGTTTTTGTTTTTGCTTCGCTTGTCTACTGTTTGAGCTTCCTTGGCGCGCTAGGAGCCGGGAGGGCGGAGCGCTTCCTGGCACGGCAGGTGCCTCCTAGACACTTCGGCGGCGGCCAGTCAAGGAGGCTTCTTGATTTTGGGGTTTTTGTTTTGTTTTGTTTTGTTTTGTTTTCAAATTTTCTTTCCCCTCCTTGTAGTGAGGGAGCTCCAGATAATGAACAAGCAGTTTTGAACTACTTAATTCAGCATAGGCTCCTTTCCATTAATAGCAATTATAGCATGGAAAGTTGTTTTATTTGCTTTTTTAAGATCTCAACCCTCTCCTTGAAGAGTGCTCTCCACTCCCTCACCACAAAGCCAAGGATTCTACTAGCATTAGCTTTCCTCACCACCTACCTCAGTAGTGAAGGCCCTGAGCACCCTTGGGCCTCCCATCTGGGCCGGCATTTTTGAGCAGCCCCCACCCCCACCGTGGCTTTGGAGCAGGCAACCCTGACTTTAAGCAGACAGGTGCTCTGTGTCTTGTGTAGCTAAACACAAGTGGAAAGCCAAGCTCTGCGCTCTCTTTCTCAGGGACTTCTCTGGGGGGCGCTCTCAAGATGAACTCAGACCCCGTCGACAGTACTTTGGTCTAAGGTGTCTAGAGTGCAGGGAGGGGAATAGCCGGATCAAGTGAACCATGGGAAGGGCAGGCAGAACCGAATGCAGACCTTGTCTGAAGGCGTGACCCAGACCCGCCAGTGTTAGGAAAGGGGTCTTAGTAGGAAGGCATTGGTGGTCTGTCTCCCTTTATCTCCGTTATTTTATAATTGTTGATAGTCATAAGAAATACCAAGTGTGGTGTCGTTCATCTCTCTCCGTTTCAATGCCATTTACCTAAGGATATCGTTCTTAAAAGGTTTTTTGTTTGTTTGTTTGTTTTCTTTTTGTTTTTGAGAGTTAAGCAAAATCAGGCACAGCAAAACACGCCCTAAGCTTTGAGGAGAAAAAAATTAAGCTCACTGCCAAGGTCGATATTTCAGTTTCTGTAGGTATTATCAAATTGCTTGCCTCTTTAGCGGCCTGCTAGACGGAAGTGAAAGGTTTGTGCTGTCTTCCATAGTCTCTAGGTCACACAGCCTGAGCTTTCAGTAACACCAGCAGGTGTCCAGTTTGGAAGAGTGGGGATAACATGGTTTTGGTTCTACTGCAACTGAGGATCCCATTCCCAACTATACAGCACGGGGTGGGGATGCTGCTCTGCAGTCGAGTTGGAGCTGCAGGGATGAAGATGGCAGGCAACTACGCGGGCTTTACCTTTGGGAGGGCGCCGGGGGTGGGGGTGGGGTGGGGGGGAGATGGAATGAGCTCCAACCTTCTCAGGACTGCAGCACTACCAGATCTTATCTAGACCTGGGGGGTGGGGGGTCTCTGCAGCATCCTGTGGCCCAAACCTCACGTTCCTATCGCTTCATAAACACCTGTCCTTGCATTATTTTCCATAAGCACTGGCACTGATAAGAGTAAAACTGAATGCACAAAGCCTCATGGCAAAAAGGCTGGCTGTGTGTTTATCTTTGAGCTGGTGTATGCAAAGGCCTTTGGAGTCTCTCCCGGGTTCGCGGCATCTCTTTCTGAATAGGGCCCACATGGGTTAAACCAGAGATTTTTTTTCTCTTTTAGTTGTGGATTAATATTTAAAACTCTATCCCACCTCTCAAGGGTGTGTTTTGTCATCCTTTGCACCTGCAACTAACTTGCTGTAAGTGGATTGAGCCTGGTGACCCTAGGACATACATAGCTTGGCCCGAAGCTGGTTCAGCTCCAAAGGGTCACTTTGATCTCACTGGTTAGATATCAAAGAGCTGCAGAGGCCCAAGCCTCGGAGGAGTCACTAGTCTTTGTAGCACAGTGAACAGAGGGAAACTCCCTTCTTACCCTCAACTGTCTTTGAAAAGGGGAGTGCTCACTGGGAAAGCTATGTGAACTTCCCAATTCCTGGAGCTTGGCAAGCTAGGATATTAGGGAGAGGATTGACACCTACTCCTCAGCCTGCAAGTTTCTAACTCCCAGGAAGCCCTTCATGTCTTTCTGGGGTATTAAGTGTGTTCCTTCTAATGTTACACAGTTTCAACTTTTATTGCAATTCATGATTTATTTAACAGCTACTCATAAGATACTGGGTGGGTAGGTCAGAATATATATATATGGCTCCTCCCCACCTGATGCGTCTGTGTTAGCACTAAATCATTGCAGGGGTATACAGTCATTTTGTAACAAACCCTGGGAAAGAGGCCGTCCCAGTGAAGTTTTGTGTCCCAGTTTACTTCCCCCACATCTTTTAGTGCTGTCTGTGTGGGCAGAAGAAGCCTTGGAGTTGGAGTAGCTTTCCTGGTGAATGAGCTCCAGGAGCAAATCCCTACACACACACACACACACACACACACACACACACACACACACACAGAGAGAGAGAGAGAGAGAGAGAGAGAGAGAGAGAGAGAGAGTGCAGAAGCAAAAAACTGCCTCATATAACTCCCTAATTTTCGTTGTCAACTTAGATAGCAACTTAGATAGTCCATGATGAGATACTGTGACAGGGTTTGATCATCTTTAAAGTCCTTAGCATACAGGAATTATTTTGATTTAGTATTTTGAACCTAAAGAAACTTGGGGAACAAGCCTCTGATGCTGTGTAAGAAGCAACACCCACTACTCTTGATGCCCCCGCTGCAGGTGCAGGATCTCTGCTAGGCTGTGCTGTGCTGAGGACTTGAAAGCCTGGAGGAGCTGTTTTAGAGGTCAAGAAGGAACACTTGCAGAGCATCTGGGTTCTGTTGCCAGCATGCACGTTATGGCTCACAACCTTCTGTAATTCCAGTTCCAAGGGATCTGATGCCCCTTTCTGGCCTCTGCAGGCACCAGGAAAACACTTAGTACACATATATACATGCAGGCAGCACACACATGATTTTTTTTTTTTTAAGAGTGAGGTGGTGTGTGTGTGTGTGTGTGTGTGTGTGGTAGGGGGGTTGTTAACTACTCTCCAACTCAGCGATTCAAGGAGTGCCTTCCAAACTTCTGTTATCTGGTCTCTGGAAAGTTACTAGAGTCTCTCTTACGTTTTCCCTAGCTTTGACAGCATCCTTGGGGTCCTCACTAGGCAAGGTGAGCATCAGGACAGCGTTGGAGTTTTCCAAGGAAGAGATCCTTCCACTGCTCAGCTTGACTTTCTAGAACCTTTGAGATTATATATATATATATATATATATATATGTATGTATGTATGTATGTATGTATGTATGCATGCATGCATGTATGTATGTTAAGGAGCACGGGTGAAGGGGAGGGACATAGCGAGAGGCTGCTGTACCTCCTTCTCTGCTGTGAGAAGGAGGAAGCTCTTATGGAGACTAAATTCTGTCAGAAGAGTCCCCCAGCCTTGGATGAGGAGAAGATGCGGCTCTTTCCTCGCTCTAAGAGGGTCAAGCCCTCTTAGGAGTTATGCTTTTGATTTCCCCCGCCCCCAAGTTGAAACCAAAACCTTTACTCTTTACAAAATTCTAGGGACGCCCCCTGGTGGGACAATGTTTGAGAAAGGAGTGAATCTCATGAGTAGTTTACAAAGCCTAGAGAAATGGGAACTGAGCGCTAAATTGTCCTTTGAAAAGAGGGAAAACAAGATGTGGAGAACAAGATGTTCATTTGATGCAGTGCGCCTTCATTACCAGGCACACTGGGAGCTTGCTAGTCTCTGTATTCAGTTTCTTCGTTAGAGTGGACGTGGTAGCTGGGAACTTTAGCCAGAACGTTTTAAAGGCAGTAAATGCTACAAAGGTCCTCAAGAGTGGGCAGTTACCTGCGCACCATCATTTAGCTTTTATGTTATATGTTGTATTTCTTTTTATTTGGTGCTGAGGTTGGAACTCGGGACCTCGAGCACGCCAGGAGAGCTACATTTCCAGCACTTCTCATTCAGCTTTAGGTGATAGAACCTCCTTTTTTCTGCCTTCTATCGCCTATCAAAATTTGTTGCCTTTAGTATGCTTGCAATATTTCCTGTGAAGTCGCTACAGCGTTTTCCCTTTCCAATGTCTTTCTCTTCTACGACATTTCCCTTTTCTTTCCTTG